CTGCAGGGCGGCACCCTCACGGAATGTGCACCCAGTGAGCGTGATGTTGATGGGGAGATGCAGCGGCATGCTGTTGAGAAAGAACGTCAGCACGGCACCCATGCCGCTGAATGTCACACCCGCGTAGCAGTGGTGCGTCTTCCACATTTTCAGCGTGAGGTTCTTCAGCGTCTGGTTCACCACGCAGCTCGTGTCGCCGTCGACGGCTCTCTCCGCTGCGGGCGGCACAACCGCGTCGGGCACCTCGAGGGGAAGACACGACGCGCCATGCCATCCGTCCTTGCAGCTGCACGAGCACGAGCTGCGGTCCACCAACTCCGTCCCGGGCATGTAGCACGCCGCGTCGTCGTCGCATGTGCCGCACCTGAACACCTCCACGCCCTCCGGAAACACGCCGTCGTACGACACCTCCTCATCACCCTGCAGGTTGCACCCAACGACAAAGCGCGCGGGTGACTCAACAATCGTGTTCGATTTAAAGAGCTTGGCGAAGAGTGCGTTTCCTTCCACCTGACGGTTTTTTGCAAGCGCCACAGTGGTGCCGCTGCCCGACAAATAAATTCTTTGCCAGGAATACTGAATGGTTAATACTGAGGCTGCACCCACGCTGTTTCCCTCCACACGCCACTGCGCACCACCCTCGAGTGTCACCGAGCCAGACAAATACACCAGCGCGGGATCAAAAATTTCCGTCCCGCCAACGAAGGTGCAGTCCGCCACTCGCAGCAGCCCCGCGGAGCTCACGGTAGTATCCCCAAAAAGAATGACGCCAACAGCCGAGCCCATCGTGTTGTTCTCCACGTCAAAGTAGCCGCCGTTCTTCACAGCAACAGCATTAACGCAAACAGATGATTCCACACCGTCATCATCCTTCGTTGTACTCAGCGTATTTCCCTTCACAATGATCCCGCCACCATCAACAACAACATCATTGATGAAATAGACTGCGTGCCTATTCCCCTCGATGTAGTTGTCAAGTAGCAGCAGCGTCATTTTCGCACTGAGAGTAAACTTCACAAATAAAATGGCGTGGTCCGACGTCGTCACAATCGTACTGCCCGCCACCAGTATCTGGGAGCTCGCTCCAAAATCACCCCTGAACTCCAGCTCACCAGAATCCATCATCGAGGATGTCACGTTCACGTGCACGCGCGCACCACTTCCCTTAATCAGCATGCTCATGAGGACGCAATGAAGCAGCGTGATGTTTAGTGTATGGTGTGATGCGTCAAATACGACAGGGTCAGCACAATCGCGGCAGTGAAGGTCACGTTGACGA